CTTGTTCACTTCTGCATACCAGGATTAGTCTAGCATCAAGCTGCTAGTGACAGAGTGAAGTCACTGAACTGTAGAGATAAGGCAAATTATCCAGGGTACGGGGAAGTAGATAGCAGGCTGAAATGACATGCAGGATCAAGATTTCCAGCACGATAGGGGGAATAAAAGAGGAATCAACGAGCACACCTGTATAGCAAGTTAAAATAAGAAAATCAGAAGTGCTGGGTGACTTCACCAGTAATGATTGAGAGTTACCACCAATTTTTAATGGAAAATTGCGAAAACGAGGTCAAAACTTTTTCATACACGAAGTTGTTAAGTCCATATAAAAATAATTTTAGAGAAAAATGTATTTATTTTAAAGAATTATTCAAGAATACTATCACCTAACCACCAAAACCTGAGGAAAGGAAGAAAAATCATCAAGTTGATTGATAAAGCAAAGAGTGAATAAAAAGTATATCGTCAAGAAGTTTGAGGAATCATTATTTGAACAAAATTTGCTACAATAGCTCATCGTGCATTTGCAATATTATCTATTGCTTCCTATTTATTTTGTACTACTGAATACTATGTTACGCTATGCTTTATCATTTTGGGCAAGAGTGAATGTTTATGGTAGCATAATATCTTGTTTGATCTAATAGTAAGTCCCATCTCGTGTAACCACAGGCTTTGTATATCTTTATTAAGAGCTGTAGTCTCTAAACTTACTAATTCTGAACGTCTCAGTTACCTTGGCTTTATTTCCAAGGACGTAGTGTAGCATACCAAGCGCGATGGACAAACGAGGTTTAGGATCAGGCCGGCCGGCTGAAACAGCAATAAACTCCGCCTTATCCTTAATGACCCGCCGCTGACGATATGCCTCGATGGAATGTAGCATTTTAAGGGCTTCGGCTTTTTGTGCCTCGTCTAAATTAATACGGGAAAGTGGATAGAATAAGTTAGCAAACAAGGAAATTGGGATGGTAAAGGATTTGGTGTCAAATATTAGACACATTTACAATATATGGTCAGGAGTTTAGAACAAGGGTCCTATACACGAGAGGTAATATT